AAGAATTGTAGCAATCGTCGAGTGTAGAGTGGTCAAAAATAGATTATGCACTATTGAAAAAGTGCACGGAATGGGAAAAACTGATAAATATATTGTATTTCTATCGTGCAATTTAACTAAAAAGACTGCTGAACAAAAGACTCATAAAGACGTAAAATTATTAATTCAACACTTTCATTAATATGCACATGAAATAAATAATATAATTAATAATTATTATTTAATAATATAATCTATGTATCATAACATATCTTAATATTATTTACAATAATACAGGCTTGTTTCTGTACACATGGACACATTGTTAAAGCAACCATAATATTCTCTGTTTTGTATCCAAATAAAGCTTAGATCGACATAATGCACAAAGTAATTGCTTTCCAAACCAATTATATATATACACCTAAATCAAAATACAATAAGTTACATAACTTATGATATTAGACATATCTGTACATATATATAACGTAATATTAAGTCTATTTAGGCCATCTTCGGGTTTATGTACATGATAGTTTAGAACACCAGCACGGGATTATCGCTAAAATAATTATAGTTTAAGCTTCGTTAGTCGATGGTATTGATTCCAACCTCGAAATACATGTGAGCTAATACTTCTTATAGGCAATATTTACACACATATGAAGGTATATATATATATATATATAATCTTAGTTATATTTAATTTTATATACACGAATAATATATACATGTGTATATACACATAAATATATAGAAGTATCACATAGTATGTTCACGCGCACATAAAAATAGATATGTACAGAACTTTATATGAACATTGGGGCCTATTATATAGGGCCTTACATATAGGCCTATACACAGTATATCACCGTATATACTTGGTGTATATATATACATATATATATATACATATATATATATAATATTACATTATATATATGTGCATATATACACAGTGATATAGGCCCATATAATAAATATATATATGCCTATAGGCATATGGGACAAACTAAAAAAAAAAGCCGCATAATTCAACAATAAATATTAATGAAACACACACACATATATATACACATATAAATAAATAAATATATATATATATATATATATA